CTTCATTTGGTTCAAACTGCGTCATATGTGAGGCAGCATGGTGGAATCAGGCTCTCGTCAATTTTTGGGCATGTAGAGTTATTGGTATCATTTTAAAGCTTGTTCACTTGTCTTTATTTGGATTGAAAAAAATATCAATTTATCTTGAATATAAGTCGAGATATTTGCGAATGAAGGAGGTCGGGTCACCTGTTTTCAGAGGTAAAATTAGTGAGAAAATGGCGGCCAAAGATTAGTTATTTCCTTAGCTTAAGAGTCCGTGGTAACTGAAAATTTACATTCTGCGTGCCTTTAATCAACGTTTTTCAGAAAAAGTCCACACAGAAATGAGTTCTTTAATGGGCATGATATGTGTTGAGCAAAAAAGCAAATTAAAAAAAAATAATTTAAAAATTGATAAAATTAACACACCTGTGGAAAAATGCAAGTTTCTTCTCTTTGATTATTTTGACGAGAGCCTGATTCCACCACGCTGCCTCACATATGGTGCGCTCCATAGTAAACCGGAATGACGTCAGAGTGCCTGATGTAGGATACACAAGACTAAGTACTACCAGGATTCTCCAATCGACATTATGACTACACAAACGTGTTGGTTGAGCGGCGGAAAAGGAAGATGGACTCACTGTACTGATGTACTCCAAAATGCGGAGAACAGAATGATGAGAGGAAATGGTTGGTGATAGCCATAGGAAAGAGCACTTGGCAATGTGGCTTTCCAAGCAACCACTCGAGACTATCGCACTATCTGTCATTTATGATCTATTGCAACTCGGTAAATGCACGGTTGTCTTCAGACATTGTGAAATACATGTACTTTTCTCTAGTGATTTGTTGAACAAGTATGTTATACAGTGCAGCCTCTCTATAACGACCTTCGATATAACGACATCTTCTGTATAGCGACATGGTGCCCAGGTCCTGATTTTTTTCCTTTATATTATATCATTAGTAATTTTTGGTTGCCTCTGTATAAGGACAACTCTCTATGACGACATTTTTTCTGGTCCTGACAATGTCGCTATAGAGAGGTTGCACTGTAATAAGTTCTTCAAAAGCAGCTGATCACAAGACAGATCATTAATCCAACAGGCCCACTTGTCTAGTATTCTACAGCATTCACTGCAAGAGTTGTGCATTAAATAATAATAATAATTAATAATAATTGCATTTATATAGCGCATATCCACGCCCAAGAGCATGCTCTATGCGCTTTACAACTATTATTATCCCAGCAGGCCCTCTAAGAACACTCAGAAACATTCTCAGCTTCCGTGGAAATTCATAGGCCTACATCTAGCTAAACATTACAGTCATCCAAATACCAGAGAGAAACCTTATAATATAAAGATACATTCTGAGTAGCCGGCCAATCAAATCAAAAGACATTTATTATTTATTAATCCCCCCCCCCCAAATATTACATCAATCGTCCTGCCCTATGTCTGTAGAGCAGGTTACCAATGCCCATCACTTTCACTGAGCTGCGTGAGGAGCCGCCTC